AATATAGGTAAGTTGTAGTGCTTGGGAACGAGGTTATTCCGGGCGAAAGCCCTTGGAATTAAATTCGGAAAAATTAATTTCCGACCTCGCTGGGACCAGGATATTAATCAGTAATGTGTTTGTAGGTTCTATGAAGACTTGGTTGTACCAATCATTGAGAACACTCCTCATGAGGAAGACTTAAAGGTATCATTTCTTACAAAAACCTCCCATAAAGCAAACAAACGCAAGCTAAATAACTACATCATGATTGAACAATAGGATTCTATGGTTGAAATCATGGATGAATACCCAGAAACCACTGCAATCCTGGTGCGTCGGCATGGAGTTTATGTGTGGGGTGACACATGGGAGAAAGCAAAAGTCATGTGAGTATGGAGTTGTTTTGGTTGACTGATAGGGCAAGTATATTGTCATGATGCCTAATGATGACAGTAACAACTGCTGGTGATGATGAATTTGATGTATTCCAGTACAAAAGTGGACTTTATTATTAGATAAACAACCAAAACTACACTGTCAAAGTTCAGCCTGAAATACCATGAGGCAGTGTGTGGTACGCAGGGGATTATGGGGTGGGGAACACAGGAAACCCATAACTACATAACAATGACTTATGATAATGGTGATGGCAGTCATGAAGATGATGGTGGTGATAAATGCTGATGATAATGGTGATGATGATGAAATGAAAACTTGTAATGGTGATGATGGTGATGAAACTGATAGCTGGTGATTGTGATGACTGATGACTCATGTTTTTCTGCCATGTATAAGCTAATACTATGCTTGCTTGCATACTAAATAATGATGTTGATGGCAGTCATGATGATTGATAATGATAATAAAGTGTGTGAAAGTAGTATTATTACATTTATGTATTTTCTAGGTGTGAGTGCTATGATTACCTATTTGACGTAGCCATCCAGATGAAGCTACTGGGTATCAATCCTGCTGTAAAATCGAAAAATTGTCACTCAAAATGCTGTGTTAATTTACACCCTATGACATGATACCTTTATCATCATCGTCGACACTAGAGAAAAACGTTTGCGCATGCGTGCACTTTAGCACGTTTTCTAAGAATTTCGAAGAGTTTGAGTGAGAAAAGAAATGTTTGTTTTCTTCAAGTATGCAAAACAGTTCGAGAGTATACTTTTGTGTGGACACTACGTTTTGGCATTTTGTGAAGTCCAATTTATCAGGCATGTTTGAAAGTCAAATTTACTTATGTTTTGACTAATTTGCATACGGATTCAGAGCATGCGCAGACATTTTTCACTCATGTCATCATCGTCAGCATCATCGTCGGCTTAAACTTGGGCCAGTCCTGCCTGTCATGCATACTGTGATATCTAGTAAACAGTATTGTCGTCGCAGATATCAATCAGCCAGCCATGGTAAAGCAAACCTGCCTGACATATATGTAACTTCTACCAGAATAATAAACTATTCGATGTCATTCACATATAAATAAGTAGAATCTTTTTGTCATCAATCCATACTGCCCATTTTGATCATGGATGTAATCCTACTTTAGTTAGATAGATCAGATTTTCTTACCAGCTGTAGCAAAGGAATAAAGTTTTTGCAGTTATATACGTTTCAGTGCATTAGACGATACCATATTAACGATAACACTGCGCATGCGTATTCTAATTTTCCCTTTCTGTTGTCCTTTCAATGAGTTTTCAAAAATACTTCCTGTCAAGATGTCTCAAATAATAAGAAAACGAGAGAGCAATTTTGATATGTTTCTAAAGTTTGGTTATAAATTAGGAGCACCTAGCTTTCAAAAAAGCATCCCACATGGAAAGGAATGACAATGGGAGCTAAGCCATTGTGCGATACAGGCGACATCTTGGGTATGCTGGTCATAGCAAGGGGTTAATCATCTACGGTCTAGGGGCCGACTAACCTCTCCCTTAGGCTCCGGCCGAGCTTCCTGATCAGTCTGTAAATCCAAGGATAGCGGTGTCGGGGYCGAAATCTCCGGCGTAGCCGTAAATGCTTCGCGCTGCCATACGACGGTTCAGCTCTCGATGTCTGGAAGTATGGTCCTTAATTTATTTAACAAGGAAAAATAAAGGTTACCACTGAAAAAGAAGTTTCCCCTGACAAATGAAGTTTGAATGTTTAGAAAAAACATGTCAGGAATATGCGCTATGCTTCTTTCAGGCAATGTAATATCGTTCAGTAGCGCTAGTTGTTTTTGTCTTTGAACACAAAAACACTTGAAATTCTTTCTATGACAGTTTTTTTTCCCAACTCCAAGTAAGCAATTCCAGAACGAATGGCGGGAAATCTCCGGTGCCACGCAGTTTCCTATTCAAGAGCTCTGATTGGATGTTGACTATTTTCTCGTTCATGATTGGTTAAATACGAAAGCCATTTAAATGTCAGGATGCTGAAGGTTGCCCACTCGCACGAAACCAACTCACCAATCTAACAAAGAAATATTGGGGAAAAAATGAATCGTATCAAAGGTAAACATTCAATCCTCCGCACTTCTTTGTTTCTGTTTTAGCTGATTTATATCTTTCATACTGTACGATAAATTTGGCACGTTTCTCCTCGGCTAAAGCTGAGACATCTCTATTCCCCTTATATGTATTTTCCAAGCGTCTGTTGCCGGTGCGGTTCGTTTTTCTCATAATTACTGACTTACCGATGTCATCATTGAAAGTCAACAAAAATCTGCAGTATGAAGAATCATTATTAACGAAGAGTGAAAATTTCTTCTTAAATAATACATTTAGTTTTTAAAAGGATGTATAGTGAATTTAATAATGCGAAATGAATGGAAATAAAGAGAGGATGCGAGTAGAATAGAAAAAGTTCTTTCAATAAACTCAGGTAACGAGAAGATTGTTTTGAGTCCAGTCTAAGATACAATTAATTATCATGAAGGAAATTGAAGTTCTAGACCAACACTGTCTCGAATAGAGTAGGTTACGACGCCAGCTGGAACAACAAATAGATTTTATTATGAAACAAAGAAATTGTTATTTGCACCCTAGAATTCGTTTGAAATCATTTTATTAATCATTGTCAAAGATTTACCCCGCTAAAAAGCTAACCTACTTAAAGACGCCCTGATAAGCAACAAAGAGGTAAGCAGGGGTACGCGCTGTTTTTAATGTATATACATATTCTTGGTTCTTACGAAAGAGAAGAGGAGATCATCAAACAGTGACAAGCGTCAAGTGTTTCTGCATTAAGTCTTGAACGCGTTCATCTTGTGTATATTCATAACGAGGAAACGGTGCAGTAATGAGTCTGGTCACCGGCGTTTTGACATAACTGATTTTCCTTGTCGAATCGTTAGGAATAATAATCACTTGCTATTTGTGATTTCTTATCTGAATCGTCCTCCGCAGTCAAAAAAAGATAAGAAGTCACATTCAAAAACGCAGTTAACACGGTTTTGGGTAAATTTATAAAGTGATCGTAAACTAGAAGAAAAGCAAGACTGATGATGTCTTCAATGAACAGGTATGGGACAGCCACGTACCAGACATCCTTGAGTTATAACCCTAGTCCTAAACTAAAACCCACTCTAGTCAATAATATTTACGTAGAACATCTTCTAGAGACGGTAAAAGATGAAATGGTTAAAACAGAGATACGTCTTGCTATCATGGACGAAAGAATGCACCGAGAGGAATCAATCTTAGCAACCAGTCCACATAAATCCGTTGCTAACGCGGTTAGATACGCGCGTGCCATGAATTGTACTCTAAGCTCAACACTAGATAAAAAGCTGAAGCTACTTCATCAAGAATTTGAACGAGAATTTCGACGAATTGTTGAAGTACAACAAGAAGCCTACGAAGATGGTCCAAGCTTTCAGAAGAAGTCGTTTGACGTTCGTGGATATACCAGGAAGCAATTCCGCTATAAATTGAATGAAATCCTAACAATGAAGAGAAGGGAAGACGAACTAAGAAGAGCGAAGACACAACTTTCTTTGCCAAGTATGTCAAACTCAGCGAGTATATCTCCCGCACACAAACCATCCAAGTCCACTCGAGTGAAATTACCATGGCAGCCTCCTAATCACACTCCTGATACTACTTCAGTGGTGGCAGCGGTGGGACGGAACGGGTTTGGTATGGGCTCGTTATGGAAACACGATGGAGACGCTGTCTATTTCCCGCCTATATAAACCAGCAGAAGACTTAAATTGTGCATTCATTTCTGAATTCCAAATGAAGAAGCATTGCAAGAAATATATTTTTCCTTCAAAAGCCACCTGTACAAAACTAAACAAACATTAAGATTATTGGGTTTGAAAAGCCGGCCTGTTGAAACAGCTAAAACTTAGGTGGGGTTCATTTACACTTAAGCTCAGTTTCTCTACCGTTGAAAATCAGCTAGCACTAATTTAACTAATACATGCTTTAAGTGGAATGTACTTTTCGTTCTCCTCTTCAGCATTCGATACTCAATTCTTGTGAAATAGTTCAGTAAATTATGTAAGTTCTTCATCCCGAGGTGTTATTTAAAGCTAAAAGCCAAACTATTTTTATTACAAATTCATAGGTTTAATTTGGCGCAAGTCTAATTTTTGATATTTTAATATTGAGCTGAGTTTCATCAAAGCTTGCTAACCTTACAAAACAAACATCGTCAAGCAGAAGCTCCATTAACTGTCAGACCAGAGCAAACAGATGAAATGAAGACAACTATAGCTGAAACTATGACTGAAAAGAGATAAAACCAAGTAATATCGAGTTACAAAAGATCAAAGAAAAGCAGATGGTCCTATAAATTTGAAACAAAAAAATTGGAAAAATATAATTATTTGACTCTCGCTTTTTTTCATTAATTGTTTCAGTTTTATGAAGCTGGTATTTTTAATTATCTTGTAAATGAAATTGAAATGAATCTCTAAAACTAACAAATCATTATAAAATGAATACAGCAATATAAAACGAGTGGTTATTAAAGACAAGTGAAAACTGAACAAAAATGAAATGAAAACTGGAAGAGTACGAAACTAAAAATAAAATGAAATGAGAGAATAATTAAATTTAAATTCTGACTCTTTTGTCATATTAGTTCCCAGTCCACAGCTCAACTAAACCACTGACAGTAGGCGATGACGTCATACGAGTAGAGCAGCCATATTGGATTTTATTTCAAACAAAAATATTTCATAGCTGGCATTTCTTTCAGTTCAAGCATTAAAATGAAAACTATGATGTAATCTTTGAAACATGAATATAAAAGTGAATATATTTACACGTACAATCAATAAACAACTGAATTGTTTTTGTTATTGTTATTATTTTCCACTTCGCCAGCAAGATTCAATATGGCGGACATGATAACCATGTGATAAGAAATAAGCGCAAGCATGATTTAAGTCCATAAATCGAAAGCAGAGAAACTCTACAGATTCGTTGAGTACTCATTCAAAACCCATTGAACACGTACAAAAAACCACGTCAGTGAGTAGGAGTGGAAAAGCTTCCGTTTACACGGTGTTTTGTACGCTTCAATGAAGTGGAAAATGCCTGGTTACCTAGCACTTGCCTGCCATTTTCAACCACACGAAAATTATTAAACTCCATGAAAAATATGTTTCATTTTAAGATATTTTTTCGAGTAAAAATATAAATTAATGAAATGAAAGTGTAGGAATAAAGACGGATAACATTTTGTTTGAGAATCATCTTAAAATATTTTGAAAATGAATGTCAAAATCTATTGTCAGCTTGTCATTACTTTATAGTTTCAGCTTTTCGCTTTCATTTTAATCTTTTTGAAAAAAATCCAACTTGAAGTATTTGATAAACACCTAGTTTCAAATAGCAAAGGGAAACGTTTATTTTTACTATAGATAAAGGAAAATCTCCCCTTTTCTTCTTTGTGTTTCTCTCTTTGTTGTCTCTCCATTTTTCATGCATATCTTATAAACTTGGTAGTGTATTATACGAGAGAGTTCCTACAGTGATTCACTGGTCAATATATGGCTGTAATACAAGAGTTATTAGAGCGATGAAGCATGATATGGGCTGCCTGCCTATCATGGTATACCGGCTAACGGACTGGTGCTTTGCTACTCGCTCTACTGACCTGTTTACCTGGTTGCATTCAGACCGTTGAATCATTCAATACTTTCCATCAATCATAGATCTCAATTGAAACCTTGATTGCTCTTTCTTTATTTCGCAATGTAAAAGCAGTTTTTTTCCCGTAGAATATATCTCAGATTCAATAAATGTTTTTTACGAACCGCGCGCACATTAACATCATTAACACCATTTCTATCAATAAACTTTCCCTTAAACACTCGAAACCTCAAACGCTTTTTATCGAAATCAATTTTAGGTGCAATTTTTATACATTTTATTGCCTTCTGCTTCACCACATAATTTTTGAGTCCTTTTTTACATACATCCAATCATTGAGGGTTTTGGATGAGTTTTTGATGATGTCGGGCGTGGTGTTGATAAAGTGGCTTGGTTGGAGGTTGATCTTTGGTCAAGCGATCAAGGATCGAGTTCTCTCGTCCAGCACAACCAAAAATGAATGAACGGATAGTCAAGAAATTTGAGATAAATTTTCTTGAAAAGATGCCATTTTCGGTTCTTGCCTTCAACGCCTTCAACTAAGACAACATGAAGTCGTAAGGAAATCAAGCTAAAAGATTGCATGGAAAATAATTAAAATTTTGAAAAAAATACGTTAACGTAATAATCACCAAAACAATAATTTTAAGGCAAATATTGGCGACAAAAAGCTGTGTTTCATTTTTCCTATTCTCATTTTTTCTTTTCTTCTTTCTCATTTTTCATCAATTTTTATTGAATTGTTTTTGTCAAATACTCTTTTGACAATTTCTTGAATCTCATATTTTAAGATGTACTGAGAAGGTTGGCCAGTAAAGAATCTCGAGTTCATAAATAATTCATGAATAATTCATGAGTTACATGCTGACGTTGACTGACCTGTTGATCTCACTTCCAAATATGGCAAGCGGAGAACTGAGGAACGAGCAACAAACTTGTCGGACAACAGCTCGCGAAACAAGCGGGATGGACACGCTCTGAGTCCTTATACTATGACCGCAAATACTTATCTCTTGTACAGCTAAAACTCCTTATGACAGAATAATATGGTTTGTAAGAATAATACCATAAATTGTGGACTTCTCGTGGGGTAGACACGAGAATTATATTGACAGATTTTTATATAAAGGTAAGTGAAGCACTATGGTACCAAAGATGTTTTTCCTATTTTCAATTTCTCACCAATCCCTTTCAGATATTATTCCAGTCCGAATTGAATATTGTTATAATCTTAGCTTTAAAAAGAAGGAAAAAGATATGAAGGAAGAAATGTTATTCTCAAGAATTATTTTGTTCGATTTGAAAGACGCTAGTTGCTGTGTGCGGGTAATAGCAGCTTTCAAGTCGATCAATGACCTTACGTGTAGTAAATGTTTGAAAAAGAGCTAACCTTTTTAAAATATTTGAAGTTAAAAAGAAAGCATTACCACACTAAGGCTTCAATTTATCGTAATTTGAATATTTTTTGAGAGATTTTTGATATGGTGGTAAAGACAAAGACCCGTCATAAATTAATAAATACCTGATAGCTCGTAAAGGAGCTTCCATGAACAAAAGAAATGTTTACCACTAAAACAGGTATTTCATTAGTAGAAACTGGTAGAGCTTATATATCAATCATTTTAGAATAAATCTAAACGAAACAAAACACTTTGCCGACATGGAAACTAAGAATTATAACACAAAAAATGTTATATTACGATATGGGAAGTTGTTGTTAACTTTTGTTAACTTTTCGAATTGAAAAAGAGAGTTTTTTAGAGTATATTTTACTGTAGAGTAAAGGAAGGAGCAGGTAGTGGTGTTATATTAAGTTAACGACCAAACATTCTTACTTTTTTCTTAAGTTTTTCTAGTTAATACTTTGGATGAAATCAGTATAGAGATAGTATGAAATAACGTGACAATTTACTATTCCTTGAATGAATATTCAATTCAGTAACCGATAGAAACTGAGATGCATGAGTGAACGAAATCCGAAAAACGATCGACCGAGAAGTAGAATCGAAATATCACTTGTTAGTCAAGTCTTTCACATTACACTAGATATCAAAAGCACCTTGAAGATAAATGAAATTCGGCAGTCCCTTTTTATTTTCAATTTTTTTCTCACCTTTTAACACATCATTTTTGCTTTGTAAACCTTCGAGTTTTTGAAAGAAGTCAAACGGAGAAAGAGAAAAACAGATCTAGAAAGAGATGGAAATGGAACCGTAGTCTCCAGAATAAACTGTATGGTAAAATTACTTTGCGTACTGACTTCAACAGGAATGTGAGATAATCAACTCCGCCTAATTAGTCGATAGTAACAATCAAAGTTTTTAATCCATGGTTATTATCCAATAAAAAGACAGGAATCTATTTGTTTAGGAAATCGCACGATCTCGAGTACAATTTGGAAATTAATAGGCACGAGTAATGTTTTGAAAGTTCTTGTAATTGCACGAGCCTTTCGAGGCTTTAGGCGAGTGCAATTAAAGAACTTTCAAAACATTACGAGTGTCTATTAATTCCAAATTTGACGAGAAAATCGTGCGATTTGTTGTTTATAGTTCACTCAACAAAATTTCAGTAATAAATGCGAAGCGACGCCGTTCATCTTTGTCTATTCGGCGGCCGATTTTCAGTCCATCGGGCAACTGAAATACATAAAAAAGATTAGTTCTTACGGCTTTAAAATTTTATTCATATTTTTTTAAATACAAAATAATAGAAAATAATTGTTTTGACATTGTTTTGGCCGTTTTACCATAGCGACTTAATTCGGTACTCCTACGGAGTACAATTAACGCTATAATTGTACTCCTCTCGACCAATCAGAGTCAAGTAATTTTGTTGAGTGTACTATAAGACTCGAAACAAATCACAGGCTTTTCTTAATGGGCCGAATTACCGAAATATCAAAGTAAAAAATTACCTGAAATCGAAAGCAAATCTTTAAAAATCCTAATTTTGTTTGTTTCTTTTTTTCCAGGCAATTTAATAAAAAATGAAAGCAATCCCGCGGCTTGTCCCGAGCCATGTCCCGCGGGTTCTTCTTATTCTGGTTTTACTATGCAGTATACAAGCATTGGCTAAAAAACCTCATATTATCATGATAGTAGCAGACGATTTGGTAAGCAAGACTCTATAATAAAGTGTTCTTATATATAAATAATATACTTATAATAACGTTTATTATTGATGTTGCGCCATTTTCCATTCACTAATATGATCAAATGATCAACTATAAGGGTTATTACACTGGGTGCCAAACTTCCTCGAAACCTTTGACCGAGAAGCACTGGCACGAGAACATTGAATAATTTGTGCATTTAATTAAAGAAAAAAATTATTTGTCACAAAAACTTTGCAGTAATATTTGTAGCATATTTCTACCAAAAATTTGGAGAATGTTTTTGTGTGCTTTCTCGGACATGAATGAGTCAGTCAACCAACGTACGTGGCGACCTATGACGTTATGACTAACATTTTGATATTTTATTGGCTACATTAGGGATGGGATGACGTCAGTTTCCATGGCTCGCCCCAGATTCCCACGCCTGCTTTAGATGCGCTGGCCAATAACGGTGTCATCTTGAATAATTATTACGTATCACCGCTAGACACACCGTCAAGAGCATCGTTCATGACTGGAAAATACCCAATACACCTGGGTGAGTACTTCTATGACGAAATAGTCACGTGACCATCATGACGTCATTAACATAATTGCAGGTAACTTATGTCAATGATATACATGGTCACGTGACGATCTTAACGTCATTGGCGAAGACTCCTGTAAACATAGCTTAAAATCATACGCCAGCGTAAGGTCATGTGACAATCATGACGTCATTGATAAGATCAAGAACGTACGTTAAGGCAAGGTCAGGTATAATCATGACGTCAAGGTATTGTCACGTGTAATCATGACGTCAAAGCATGGTCACGTATAACCATGATGTCAAAGCATGGTCACGTATAATCATGATGTCAAAGCATGTTCACGTATAAACACGATGTCAAAGCATGGTTACGTATAAACATGACGTCAAGGCATGGTCACGTATAATCATGATGTCAAAGCATGTTCACGTATAAACATGACGTGAAGGCATGGTTACGTATAAACATGACGTCAAGGCATGGTCACGTATAATCATGATGTCAAGGCATGGTCACGTATAATCATGGCGTCAAGGCACGTTCACGTATAATCATGATGTCAAAGCATGTTCACGTATAAACATGACGTCAAGGCATGGTCACGTATAACCATGACGTCAAGGCATGGTCACGTATAATCATGA